ACAAAGCCCAAGGAAAGGACAGTTTTCCATAACATGCAAAGGGAGGGGCTGCTGTTCAGAGTGCCACAATATAAGAGTGGCCACTGGGAGCAGTGGGCCCCCAGGGGAGAGCTATCCTGCAGTGTAACTGGGGGCAGCTGCACCATGAAGGGAGTGTCCAGCAGGGTTGGGGCTTTCCCATATTGCCTGCCAGGACACCAGTAAGGGCTGAGCAGGCCGAAATGGCATGCAAGGCAATGGGAAGTAGGGAAGCTGTTTTGGGAACGGAGTCCTTTTTGGCAGATTGTGTTGCCTGGAGACCCTTAGAATCCCAGCCCATCCTCTGAGAGAGAAGTGAAATGAAACGCCACTTAATTATTCATGTTTAGAGAGCACTGCCTCCATAACTCTAGAAACGCACACACTCCTTCCTCAAGCTTCTGCCCCAAAGGACCTGGGTAAGTCTACTAGCATGATTATATTGTATGCATGTAGCATTTTTGTATCTGAATTCAGGAATATTCTCTCTGCATCTATTATAAATATGTTTACACTGGGGAACGCTCACTAGATAGAATGCAAGCTGTGTAGATTGCTGGCAGGAAAAAGCCTTATTTCTCAGCTCCTATTGGCCTGTTTCTGACCAATAGGAGTTGAGAGATTTTGCTAAGGGCGGGGGCAGCACATAAAGCCTCTCCCTCCCTCACAGCAGTGCAGAGAGCCACATGCACACCCAGCCACCTGTCTGGGGCTGCTGGCGGTAGGGGGGTGGGGGGAGCCTGCTTGAGTGTGCTGCTGGCCAGGAGCTGCTGTGCCCCAGGTCACAACTCCTTCCTCCAGACCTTCCTACCCCCTCCTCCAGGCCAGAATCCTCTCCCATCCCCATGTCTCCTACCAAACCTGCACCTCAATCCCCTGCCCCAGATCACAGCCCCCTCCTTCATCAAACTCCCTCTCAGACCCCACAACCTCTCCTGCACCCCAATCCCCTACCCTGAGCTCCCTTCTGCATTAGTGTTCCCTCTAATATTTTCCAACCGTGAGTGGAGTGAGTTTTGTCTTGTGCACCGACACTGAGATCATGTCCGTTTGTTCGGATGTGTGCCACCAGGTATGTTCACTATAGGTGAATTGACTAATCAACTAGTCGATGGAATTTCCATAGGCTACTCCATTAGTTGATGGGAGGTGGGAGGGGGTGAGTGCTCCCACTGCAGCTCTGTGTATACAGAAGCAGCAAGGGGGAGGAGGGGAAGTGAGTAGTTGATTAGTCAGCTGACTACCCAATAAGCTTATGCTCAACTAGTCGCTTACATCGCTACGTGGCACCCAAGTTATTAACAAATATCATACATATGTACAGGGCTCGACAATTAGTGTAATCTACTCGCACGTGGCGTGAGTGCTCCCACTGCAGCTCTGTGTATACAGAAGCAGCAAGGGGGAGGAGGGGAAGTGAGTAGTTGATTAGTCAGCTGACTACCCAATAAGCTTATGCTCAACTAGTCGCTTACATCGCTACGTGGCACCCAAGTTATTAACAAATATCATACATATGTACAGGGCTCGACAATTAGTGTAATCTACTCGCACGTGGCGAGGAGATTACAAGCCGGCACAGCGTGATCAGCGCATGAACAGCACGCCGAACCGCACGGATGGCAAGCAGGGCTCGCTGCCACCTGGAGAGCCCTGCATATGTATATATATATATATATATATTTTAAAATGTTATGGAAGAAAGAATATTAAAACCAGGGATAATTAACAAGGGGCATGACTTTAAATGATTATTTAATATGAAGTCAAATAAAAAGAATTAATACTGCAAAGTTTTCAATAAGTTAGATGAGCCTCAAGGCTGCTCCAAATCTGCACTGACCACAATTCTGTAGAAGTCAGAGGAGGCCAAGAATAAGCAAACTGCTGCACTGCCCTAGTTTTCCTCCACAATGCCCTTATTCCAGGAGGTTGCGGGGGAAGGCACCACAGAGCCATTTCAGTGGCTCTAAGCCAGATGTAGTGTCCCTTACTGCACTGGGGATAAGACCCAAGTCGGGAAGTGAGATCACTGCCGTTAGGGTACCTCTGTGCCACTGGAGTGAAAAATGGCTCTAGGGCAAGAGAGAATCAAGCCTGTTATTCATTGTTTTCTCTCTATTGTGAGGCTTCTACGAGTACACCGAGCACTGTCAAATAATAAATAGCGCCTGTAAAAGTTTTATAGACTTGAACACGTATTGCTGACTTTGGAAAACCTCTTTACCTATAGAAGAATGCCGGTAAGAGAATATCAGGGAGGTCTTAATTTTTAAATAGTTGGTGTGGCAGAATGTAATAATTTAAGTTGCATATCTAGGTATGCAGGCAGCCTACAACCTCCGTTATTCTTAACTATTGTGAATTCTATACAACAGGAGCTTTGCCTATTACAGTGAATAGTTTTTAATGTAATGGGTCTGTTCACATGACTAAACACAGGGCTAGCTAACATCTATTGACAGATTGGAGCGTTGCCCCCCCCCCAACCCAGCCATCTGATCCATGTCTGCAGACCCTGCACATAATCGCCATTCCAAGGCCCCTCCTTGTGATGCATGTATCTGTAAAATGCCACACATACCTGTATTTCTGACTAGCAAAACCAACAAGCCAGTCATGAAAAATGTTGGCTATACATTTGGCCAATCACGTGCATAATCAATGCTGTGCAGTTGGGCACACTTTTCCGGTGCCCTACTGAGGGGGCTACCCAGCTTACACCCCCTCATTATGTCTGAGCCATACAGCCCTGGCTCCCGGCAGCAGCCACCCACCTGCCCACCACACAGCCATGGTCCCAACCCCCGTCACCAGTCGCCTGCCACAGCCTCAATCCCCAGTGGCAGCAGCTCGCTCACCCATCCACCACGCGGTCACAGACCCAACCCCCTGCAGCAGTTGCCTCACAATGGCCACAGCCCTAACCCCTGGAAGTAGCAGCCTGCCTGCCCACCACGCAGCTCCAACCCCCAGCAGTCCCCCACCTGCCAATTTCCCAAGTGGCCCCAGCCGCTGGAGCAGCCACGACACTCACCATCCAGGTCCAGCAGGACGGTGAGTGCTGCTGCGCAGCTCTGCGAAGGAGGTGGGTGGGCTTGGACATTTTTGTGCGCGGCTGCGCAGCTGTGCACCTTAGAGAACACTGTTCTGTACCCAACCTCCATCCCAGACCCCACAGCCCCTCCATAGAGTAGTGCAGCCCTTGAACACATACCAACATCACAGCATGGTCCCCCCATCAAAATTATTGCCCACCCCATCCTAGCATGTCTGGGCTGTGAAAAGGGCTCTTCTCTCTGGCCATGGCAGCTTCGGTGGGGCTGGGGGAAGTTCCAGCGCGTTTCAGCTGGGGTTCCTCTCCCAGGCAGCTCCGGAGGGGCTGGGCCAGAGGACCCACACAGCACTAAATAGCCTGCTGTGTGTCTTACAGGGAGCCTAGTTCGCCATTTTAGGGATACATTATTAAAAAAAGTGAACATAAGAATGACCACACTGGATCAAAAGGAAAGTCCATCTAGCCCAGTATCTCATCTTCTAACGGTGGCAAATGCCAGGTGCCTCAGAGGGAATGAACTAGGGATGTTAACTAACTTGTATTTGTGTAAATGTGTAACCACTGGACTTTTTAGTGGTTCCATGCTTACATTGGGTGAGGAGAAAGGCAGGCAGAAACCAATGCTTGTGGGCAGCCAGCTTTCAAGAAAGCTCCCCACAAGCACCAGCTTCTGCCTGCCCCATCTTCTGCCTCTGATAAAGAGGCAGCGGCACAGGGGACAGGCAGCTCCATGGGAGCTGATACATGGGGGGAACTGGCTTGAAAGCTGCTTCTTGCATGTACTGGCTCCAGCCTGCCCCACTGTGCTGCTGCCTGCAGGGAGTCAGTTCTGGCACTAGCTCCTACCTCCTCCCCATCCCCCGTTGCTGCCTCTGACATACAGGCAACAGGGGGGAAGGCACGTGTAATCATTAGGATTAACCAATAAGGCCAGGCTTATCGTTTAATTGTGTAAATGACAACATGCATCCCAATGATCCATCCCTTGTGGTCCATTCTCAGTTTCTGCCAAACAGAGGCTAGAGCCAACATCTCTGCCCATCCTGGGCAATGCACATTGATGGATTTATCCTCCATGTTATAATCTTGGACTTCACAACATCCTCTAGAAAGGAGTTCCACAGGTTGACTGTGTGTTTGTGTGAAAAAAATACTTCCTTTTCTTTTTTTTTAAACTTCTGTCTATTAATTTTATTTGGTGACCCCTAGTTCTTGTGTTATGAGAACCTGAGGATGTTAAAAGTTTATTAAGGTTAAACAGGTTAGAACAATCTGAACAGATTAACCCATTGGAGTGAAATGAGAACAAGCAGTAAGATTATGGCTCTGTTGAAGCCAGAGTTTCCAACCAGTCTGTTGTAACAGTAACTGGATGGCACAATGTGATATGCTGTGGTCACTGATCTAAGTGTAACTATATTTGTGTGTATGGTGCAATATTTGGGTAGAGCTGTGTTAGACTCTTCTTGGGCAATCAGAGTATATGGTTTATTTTATCATATTGGAGGGCTTTTGCATTTAGAAACTGAAGAGAGATGCTCATCTCAGCAATGCTGCATTTACTCAGAGAGAAATAAGAACTACCTCTGACATGGCGCTTTCACAGGTAGACAGAGACTGATTTATGTTAAATGCAACAGTTCCTTTCTCCACTGGGTACTAATGTTTAACATTCTGTTAGTTACCATGATACCTCAGGGCCATGTTCTAAAGTTCAGTTTGCAGAATAGAAGGGGATCTGTGCTTTCTGTACAACTAACAGTGCCTGCCCACAGTGCCCAAAGATGCTGGCCAGGATAAAATTGATAGCTATCACTAAAGAGAGCGGCTTAAAACTGAATTGAGATGTCAAAATTTCCCTAGAACAAACTAACAAGAAGATTCCCCATTTGGTGTGCAACTGATACAGTAGTAAGGAAGTAAGAATTTCATCAGACAATACACTGCTTCCCACCCTGTTCTATGATTTGCCAGTTCTATAGAGAACTACACAGCTGCTGTTGGGGCGCAAGAAGTTTAAGATCAAACAGTCTCTTGAAACTATTTGTAAAATGTTTGAAGGAAGGAATTCTAGTGGGTTGCCTCTAACATTATATCTTTACCACAGAGCTCCAGTTGCAAATCCTCCCACACTTAGCTCCTGGCTTTTTTTTAATGTACATTAGGTATTAAATAGGTTAAAGAGCACACATTTTGGTACTCATTGCATCAAAGGGTACATACACAGCTCTCTAACATCACAGAAGATTAATCTACAACAAAGTTAAATGAATAAGCAACTGCAAGGATAGAACACTCAAGTTCTCAATAGCAAAAACCAAGATAGCAAATGCTATGTTTACTTAAGCTGTTAATTTCCACAGATCCTTTTATGTAATGACTTTGAGGCCAGTCTGAGTAGCATAATGAAGGCTGAGCCCCATTCTTCTAAATCCCATATGCAAAGCTTACTCTGACAGTATGTGTAGAAAAAAAAAATGGTCTGGTAGCACTTTACAGACTAGCAAAACATGTAGATGGTATCATGAGATTTCGTGGGCACAGCCCACTTCTTCAGATGACCGGAGTTATCTGTGTATGTGTATAGATCAGAATCACAGTAGCACTGCCTCACTACTGCTCATTTCATTGAGGGGAGGGATCGCTCAGTGGTTTGAGCATTGGCCTACTAAACCCAGGGTTGTGAGCTCAATCGTTGAGGGGGCCATTTAGGGATCCAGGCATATCACTCAGGGATGATACTTAGTCCTGCTGAGAGGGCAGGGGACTGGCCTCAATGACCTATGGAGATCCCTTCCAGCTCTACCAGATAGGTATATCTCACACTACAGGTTAATAAGCAAGGGCTGTTAGATGGAAATAGCTCTTTTGGAATAATTGTGTAAGTGGGTGTGCTTATTCCAGAAGAAAATTGCCTTATTTTGAATTAGCCTAAAGCACATCCAAAGAGTAATTTGTAAAGAGTAAAAGAGTAAAAGTAATTTGGAATAAGGTCCTCTTATTATGAAATATGAGCATCCACATATGTAGTTGTTCAGACATAGTTAATGCACTTTAAATTTTCATCCTATCATTTTCCAAATTAATTTTCACATGTCTACAAACCCCAAATAGAATCTCTGCCTCCACTAGAATAGAGGCACTGCTAAGTTACAATACACATGCAAGTTTGAAAATAAGGCTCTTTGCAAGGCTCATCACATAAGCAACATAAAACTCATGTATCATACTACCAGCAAGAGTCCAGGTTTCTATTATTTTACTCACATATGATGACTTGTGAAAAGAATTTAGCAATAATGTTGAGCAATACATATCAGAAACAGCTGACACATTTTATAGTGATCTATAAGGAAAAGAAGAGCAAAAGGCAGGTATAAACCCAAAGAAGCAGAATGTCTGCAATGCTAGTTTGTCTGCTTATTTCTCTCTCAGCAAAACTGATATCAAGACTCGCTTTTGTTGTTTTTGACAGAGGACTTAAAGTGGATTCAAATCAATAGAAGGCTCTCTTAAAATCAAAATACCACACAAGGGAGTTGAACTGATTTAACTACATCAGATATCAGATAACTACATCTATCAGATAGAGGCAGCAAAGGGGGGGGGGAAGAAGGGGTACTTCTAGGTGCAGTGCTGCACCGCTGATCCTGGCTCAGCTGTGAGGCGCTGCCCCTTTGAAACGCCAAGGTGGCCTCACAAAGCAGCAGTGCTGCCTGGAGCCCAGGGTTAGCTGGGGACCTTCCAGCTGATCCCAGCCTCCATGCGGCATTTCTGTGGAACCCAGGATCAGCTGGAGAGTACCCAGCTAACCCCGGGCTTCGCGCAGCATTTCAAATCGGCAGTGCAACGTGGAGCCTGGGATCAGTGGGGGACTCTGCTAACCCCGGGCTCCATGAGTGCTCTTCCACTTTGAAATGCACAAGAGCCTCCCCTGGGGACTCGTGTACATTTCAAAGCTGGCACGCCCACGTGCAACCCAGAGTCAGCGGGACTGCCCACTGGCCCCAGGCTGCATGCAGTGTTCCGCATTCCTTTTCTGAAATGTACAAGAGCCCCAGCGGGCTCCCCAGTGGGCAATTCCATCGACTACTCAAATAACCGATATTTAACATCCTTATTCCATACCAGTTTAGACACAGATAAGACCTACAGATGATTTGACACATGGGTAGTGGGTGCTGCACTCCTTTGAGGAGTCTATACCTGGCTCTGCCCCTTTTACTCACAGCAAACCCCCATGTGTCCAGAGCACCAAGACCCACCTGTTGATGGGTCTCAAGTCACCTCCAGCTGTGCCATATCTCCCCTCCCCAAACCCCAAGTTTCCCCAGGGAAAGCATCTCAGGTCCAGAAGATGCTTTTGCTATGCTCCATGCAGGTTCCAAGGTGGCTAAGGAGGAAGTATTTGCCATTTAGCTTCCTGGGTTCACCACTAGTCTCCCTAAAGTCCAGGCAGATTACTGACAACCCTGATTAGCACATGCTGCCTCCTTAGCTGCCCTGCCCTCTCCCCTTCCCCCACAAACTCCACAACCAACAGCTACAGTGGTGCTAATGGAGACAGAGCCTCCACTGGCCTATTATACCCATTGCCCATGTTTACTTTC